TTATCCACCAATGTTTCTTCTCTATCACAACCCACCATCCCGGAAGCTTCCGATGTAGATGTTGAGTTCCCGAATTGGGTCTCGGAGAATGACAAGAGCCTCCTTCATGCTGCAGTTGAGAGACCAAATTCAATCTCACGGTGGCAAAAGATGGTACAGAAAACTTTAACACTATTAGGTCCGTCGTCTTGGCCGCTCCTAACTTGAGCAAAACTAGGTACATAATTTCTAACCCAACGTAGTAATTAGAGCATCAATGTTAACATTTGAATTCTTTCTTTCTTTACAAATATTGATATACTAATTTTGTTTTGGTTAGTACTATTGATAGTAATTGGTGGTGTTGGATTGAAGAATTGATTTTTACCAATCACATAATTATGTTGACACTTTTTATTTTTGTCATTTATATTTCGTGATGAGTAATAATTTAAATGATAAAAATTTAAAAATGAATTGCATGATTCTACATTTTCTACGTTACTTATAGGTACTCATATTAGTTAGCAAATTTTGGGTGTAGGTTTATGATTTGTAGAAAAGGTGGGGTATAATACCATTTATATGTTTGAATATTAGTTAACAAATTATGGGTATAGATTTATGCTTTATAGAAAAAATGGAGAATAATACCATTTATCCAAATCATTTACAAATCTAATATTATTTACCAAATTTTGGGTGTAGATTTATAATTTATATAAAAGGTGGAGTATATTTTGAGAACGTGGAAATACCGGAGAAGAAGACAATGATAATGTTCGTCGGAGAGGGAATCGGAAAAACAGTCATCAAAGCAAACCGCAATACCGTTGATGGCCGATTGAAAACATACGAAACAGCTACCGTTGGTTAGTCTATTTTAATGATCAAATGACATTTAGTTCTCTTGGTTTTGCAATGTTAAGTAGGACATTCTTTGCAATAACTATTCAATAATCAACCAAATAAATCTCTTTTGGCACATTATCCCAATACTAGTAACGATTATAATTTAATACCTCGTCCATTTGGAAACATTTTTATAGGCTCAAACCAAATTGTATGTTGAGCCCAAATAAAATTCAATTTTGTTGTTGTAGTTAAAGATTATTAATTAGACAATTTTTTTTGTGCAGGCGTGAGTGGTAATGACTTCATAGCTAAGGGCATATCTTTCGTGAACTTTGCCGGACCGAAGAAACAACAAGCCGTGGCATTGCGAAGCAGCTCTAATCACTCTGCCTTTTACCGATGCGCGTTTGAAGGTTACCAAGACACTCTATATGTCCATTATGGTCAACAATTCTACAGAGAATGTGACATATCTACAATCGATTTTATATGCGGTAATGCGGCTGTCGTGCTCCAAAATTGTAGCCTTTTTGCTCGTAAACCACTTCCGAACCAGAAAATCGTATGCACCGCTGCCTCCGCGTTGAAGTCTACCAACATCCCATTTCATCTTTTTTTGTAATCGTTTAATTTGGGTGTTGTAAGCAAATTAAAGTGTTGTAAGTTGTAACCACCATAGTGGATCGTAAACATGGAATAAAAACATTCTAATATAATATATTGAGTGAAAACGATGGACCATACTTTATAAGCATATATTATGAAATGGAACTATAATATAGTCAAAGAAGCTTGATATATTAATCCAAATATGAAATCTAAAATTTTGAGATTGAAGCCAAAAACGTGAAAGGGCATCATAGCGAAAGTATTATATATATATATAGCTGTTTTCTTCCATTTCCTATCACCTGTTTAAGGAAAATATCAAAATGAAGTATGAAGAATATATAGTTCATTTTAAGAAGAATGTATACTGAATTTGAACCTGTGAATGTCTTGCTCTCTTTCGTAATCTTCCATGCTTCATATTTGATTACTGAAGCATGTCCTCCCTAACACCCAATGTCTAAACTTCATATGCCAAGAAAACCATTATCATTCACATTTGTTCATCTGTATTGAATTCTTGCCATGATACCTACTATATTTATAATCTCATTTGTATGGAAACAAAAGCTATCAAGATCAGTATAAATTGCAAAAATTTCAAGCTCTTAACTTTGATTGATAAATCCTCCCTCTGGATAATTTAATATAAAATTAACTGTCTTAAAGTGAATCTTCCATGTGTACCTACAGAAAAACCATATATCGAATTTGTTCTTTGTGATCAAACAGCTTAACCGAGAACAATTATAATGGTTTTTGATTTAGATTTCTTTGTACCGTATATCCTTTGGAGACCAGAGTCTGTTACTTTCTGCCAATGGTTTGGATCTTCCTTACAATGTTCAAAGAAATCAGCCATTATGTTACCCGCTTGCTCGAGATGGTATGGATCAATGTGGAAACCCGATAGCACGTGCTCCATAATCTCTCCAGGACCACCGTGACAAGTAGCGAAAGAAGTCGGAAGCCAGGAAGTCATTGCTTCCACTACCCTAAGCCCAAACGCCTCGTAGAAGGCAGGCTAAATAACCAAACCAAATCCAACTCGAAAATCAACCAAATCTAACTGAATTGAGAAACTAAATAACCAAACCAAAAAAACTGAATGCCCCATTACCTTACCTGAGCAAAAGCACCAATGTAGCGGTAAAGCTCACTATTTCGAGTACAGTTAGTTTGTTGCTTTTTCTTACAACAAATGCGTTTTCTTCTTCCACGAGACTTTCTTCATTAGTAGCTATGTACACTTCTGACTTCTTCCTCCGACATCAACATAAAACGTGAATAAACATCGAAGACACATTTAAATGACTATGAATCGTGGTGGTTGTGATCCTACATTCCTACCTTGGGATTTTGCTTGAAGCTTTACGTTACTCTGCAATCTTGTTTTCCCACACAAATCTTCTGCTTTCTCTTCGAGCTCATTTTCCTCAGACTCACTTTCATATCCTCTAGTTTCCTACACGAAAGCTACGTTCCGGGATTTTTGTTATTTTTAATGCCAACGTATAATAAACACATTAGCTTGCTTGTGCGTAAGTTTACATTTACATGTGTGAATGAAAATAATAAACTATTTTACGGAGATTATAAACTATATTGCATAATTGATATTTGATTATTTCTGTTTCATAAAAACGTTTAGAAGTTGTGTTCATGTTTTATCTTTCATAATCTTACTCTTGTCAATTTTCCTTCTAAACTGAAATACGTATATATTTGAATAATATATTATGTTTTTGTAAGCTCTTACAATTAATTTTTATCAAAGTTTGATAAACTTGTTATTTATCATCTATTTTTCACTTGTATAAGATGGTGATGAGAAAGATATTTTGTGGGCTTTGTACATTGAAAATGTGGTTTTCGAGAGTTACAGTTTGTTAATTTTTTTAAAATGATACAATTTTAGTTTCCATAGCCTTTTTTGTATATATAAAGCAT